AATGACCACAGAAATGTAACCGCCACAATGATCTCAAATCTTGTCATGACCAAGATTCAAAAGAAGCCCGACTACAGTGTTACCCTGATCCAGGAGGATGTTAAAAAATGTTGGAAAGTCGATGTGAGCTACAAGAAGGCATGGCACGGGAGGAAAAAGGCCATCGATAGTTTGTATGGCACTTGGGAATCGAACTTCGCCGAACTCCCTTAGTAAGAAAAAATTTATTAAAAATGTACGTGTTATATGTCACTATATTTATGTATTGACGATTACGTTTTGTAACGTGCAGGTTTTTTGCGGCGCTTCAAAGAGCGAATCCCACTACGGTTATAGAGTGGGAATGGCAAGGTGGGGAAATGGCGGCCTACTATCAGCACAGAGAATTCAAATTTGTTTTTTGGGCATTTGGTCCCGCCATTCAGACCTTCCAGAGATGCCCGCCGGTAATTAGCATGGACGGCACACATTTGCGTGGCTCGTACAAGGGGAAGTTGCTCGTGGTCGTTGCACAGACTGCGAATAAGCGGTTATTGCCAATCGCCTATGCGATTGTCGATGAAGAGAGCCAGGAAAACTGGTCATTTTTCCTGACAAATCTCCGGCAACATGTTGTCGGCGACAGACAGATATGCTTTCTTTCGGACAGGGATGCGGGCTTACAAAGTGCCGTGGATTCATTGGAAGCTTGGCAAGAACCCGCTGCATATCACCGGATTTGTCTTCGACACCTTCGGAGCAACGTGGTTACTAGGTACAGGAATAACAAAATCCGAAATTGGTGTTGGGAGTTGGGTTCACAGGTTTCAGAGAAAAAATTTGAACAGATACGATCGCGGCTTTGGGATTGTAATCCGGACGCATACAATTACTTGTTCAAAATTCCTCTGGACAAGTGGACCCTGTTTGGAGACAGTGGACGTAGATGGGGTACTTTGACAACTAACATGTCCGAGAGTTACAACAACGTCCTGAAAGGTGTTAGGTTCTTGCCCTGCCGAGCTTTGGTACACGCCACATTCATGAAAACTCTGGACTTGTTTGAGCAGGAACAGAAGAAGGCCACGAGATGCAGTAATGCCATTGCTAGTGTCCACTATGCCGCTTATTGCGAATTGGAGAGTACGGCCGCAACTCATACGGTGCGATGTTCGAACGCGGAGAGATCCCTGTACAAGGTGACAACCGGTCTACGGGCTGATGGTAGAGGCGATAAAAGGTATACGGTTTATTTATTTATTGTATAATTTTTTTTTTTATTTTGGTTCATTCAAATTTTTAGTTGTTTATAAATATAATTAAATGTGGAAAAACAAGTATAAGGTTTCGTACAACCGGATGCGTTGTAGTCGTCAGAAGTGGCAGACACACAGGAAACCATGCTCTCATGCTATAGCTGTGTGTCGTCAAATAAAAGGTCAACCAAGAACCTTGTACGATCCCCACTTTTGGTCGGAGAATTGGGTGGCTCAATTTTCTAATTGGAGTTTTGCTCCGATTGGTGATCCGGACACATGGCCGATGGTCGGATGGACCTTACTACCACATTGGGAGAGGATTATCACGAAGGCTGGACCCGGTCGCGCGCAAACGAAGTATCATCGCATGCAAATGGATCGTCGGGCACGTCGCCGGGCTGATAGAGGACAGTGTAGTAGATGTGGTAATCCACAACATTTTGTGGATAACTGTCCGTCCTCGCATCCTCGCACTGATAGATCTAGAGTTCGTGATGAGTGGGATAACTAGATTTGTTAGTGTTTATTTTTTTTTTTATGTTGGACTATTTTTTTTATTGTTTACTTTGATTTGTTAGACTATGTTTGGATGATATATTTTTGTTATGTTGGACTGCATATGTTATTTGTTTATGTATTTTGGTGTAGTTGGTTGTTCTGAATATTTGTAACAGGTTTTAATTGCTGAAATAATTGGAAGAACAAGTTTTTTTTATTGCAGATTAAAACGTATTCACTAAATACGTTGTTTAAAAAATTCAGATTCAAAAACGTATTCTATGAATACGTTTTACTATAATTAATATTTATTTGTAAACCGTATTTAGGGAATACGGTTTATATAAGACATGAAAATATATAATATATAGTATATAATATAATATATAACACATAGTATTTTATATCTTATATCTTATAACACATATGGTATATAGTAGTTAACATATAATATATAATATATAATATAACATATAATATATAATATATAATATAACATATAGTAGTTAGTATATAACATATAACATATAACATATAGTAGTTAACATATAATATATAATATATAATATAACATATAGTAGTTAACATATAACATATAATATATAATATATAATATAACATATAGTAGTTAGTATATAACATATAACATATAACATATAGTAGTTAACATATAATATATAATATATAATATAACATATAGTAGTTAACATATAACATATAATATATAATATATAATATAACATATAGTAGTTAGTATATAACATATAACATATAACATATAGTAGTTAACATATAATATATAATATATAATATAACATATAGTAGTTAACATATAACATATAATATATAATATATAATATAACATATAGTAGTTAGTATATAACATATAACATATAACATATAGTAGTTAACATATAATATATAATATATAATATAACATATAGTAGTTAGTTATATCTTATAGTATATATCTTATAGTATATAATATATAATTTATATCTTATATATTATATCTTATATGTTATATGTTATATAGTTTATATCTTATATGTTATATGTTATAGTATATATCTTATAGTTTATATCTTATATCTTATATGTTAAATCTTATAACTATATAACATATGTTATATCTTATCTTATAGTTTATATATTATATCTTATATAGTTATATCTTATAGTATATATCTTATAGTTTATATATTATATATTATATCTTATATGTTATATGTTATATAGTTTATATCTTATATGTTATATGTTATAGTATATATCTTATAGTTTATATCTTATATCTTATATGTTAAATCTTATAACTATAT